TGTTATTGCGCATTATAGCATACATATATATATATATTAAATATATTTGAATATTCAGTATTGCTTAATAATAAATAAATAAATCACGATAAACCAAAACCAAATGCTTCGAGGAATAAGCAATAAAAGTCCATCCAACGAAGAACAAATCCGACGTTTTAAAAAATGCGGTTCTATGATCGGCAGTTACTGCTGATCGAGTGCCAGTTTCAAGAAGAAATACAACTCAATAGATTAAAAAGACACTTACGTCTCCTTACACTGCTAACAAGTCACTGTCTTATCGGCAGACCTGCCTGGAGACTGGGACGACTATTGTAGAAATAAAATGGACTAAGGAACATCCTTTATGCAAATGCAAGCCTCGGTATAGGAAAGGAATCGCAACTATCGATCGAGGGTTTCTAAACGATGCCTCGGAATTTGCATATATAAATTTTTGTTGTATTGATGGGCTTCTTCAGAATCGCAGGGTGGTTCAGAGAGGACATAATAGTGTGAAGGATATGTTGGTCCCGGGGGTTTCACAATAGGCATCCTAGATTCTTAGGTGAATCGTCAGACATCCACCTACCTATCTACGTCTCCTAAAACCCCTGCCTACTATGATATCAGAAATAATTAAAAGTATGTAAAGTACGCCGTAAGATACTCTCAATAAGTTTACATAAGCTGTGCATTTCAGGATCCTACTACAGTAGGCATATAGGCTAAAACATCCTACTTATGCTAGCACAGGACTCATTTGGCAATACAAACAAAAAATTCTTAAATTTCGTTTTATTTAAAAATTCATATGAAATATGTTTATACACATGGAAAATAATAAGAATTTCTATAAAACTTAGCACTATCTTTATTTGTCACTACATATATCTATTAAATCTAACCAATTCTTCTTTAAAGCTAACCAATTATTACTAAGAAGCTTTTTCACCGTCCACAAAGAGGAGAGAGATTCTCTCTAAGAGGTTCCGAAATAATTTAACTGAAATATTAGAAGCAGAAATTAAAAATTGAAACATAGCAAAGCTCTACGGAAGAGTTTTACAATGTAAGACCTCAGAAGATATTGATCCCTTCTCCACTTTCTCTATTTTCGGTTAACAGACGATGTAATATTTTTGACAGTCGTGAACAGTTCACTCTCTCCACCGTTTCATATAGAACCTAGCAAAAGTAGGTTATAACTCACCAATAAGTCCGTCCTGGCTTGAATACCATCTGATCAAATTTGACCCGGACTGGCAGAAAAATACATTTTCACTTACAAACCGTAATTATCGCCTTCAAGATAGGCTGCTGAGCCAATACAAGCATGCCCATGCTTAAGCCAATTTTTCATACACTTGCTATAAGCCTCGGTTGGGATAGTCTTCAGTGCCGTCATCGAATTTGAGAAATCGATTTCGGCTCTTTTTTGGAGCCTACGTCTCGTCCCCAGTTATTATAAGTTTAATGTATATTGCGTACTACATTGTCAAAGCTCTATGGTTTCTTCTCCACCTAAAAACTCTTTCTTACACAACTTTCTAATGCTTTGCTATTTAATCTATGTACTCATCTTGCATTTAATCTGCTGAGCCACTTATTTTGCGTTGAGCATCCGTCTTAATTATCCAGTCTGATAAATATTGCTGCTAGTAGTCAACACATACTCGAATCTGACATTCACTGTCTGCACAAATACGCCACTAGCAAATCATTCATAAAAATATTAAAATAACAGCAAAAAATGTATTACTGCGATAATAATGCGGAGCCACTTAAGTGAATGCAATTGAATAGACTTACCATATATAAACACACAAGTATATAAAAGCAATGAACGATTGAATGACAACTATGAAAATGCCTGAGGTTATTCGGCGGCACAGCGAGGACACGTGTGGAGGCAAAGACAAAAATAGTAAATATAATAAAGAATATAAAAATGTAAATTGAAGTGATTACAGGCAATGCGCATGCGTGTCTTACAAGCAGTTATATGCACATATACAATATATATGTATCTACTGGAGCCGACAGTCAGTCATTCAACGTAGAATCACTCAATGAAACCCACATGAAAAATTGCTTGCAACATAAAACTGGCAAAACACATACATATGTATGCCACTCTTGTCCCTCCTGCCTACCTACGCGCCGATAAAGACAAACCATTAATGGCTAAAAGAACTATTATACGTTTGCGATACTCAAGAGTCAAACTCCTTTTGGCCATTACGGGTTGCTGCCGCCCAAACACGTGATTTTCATGAATGAAATCTTCAAAATCTCCTACACACACTTAAATCTGCATACGCGCAAATACAGCCACACATCCTCAAACAGACATAAACATATAAACATGCATATACAAGCCGCCCAACCAACAAACCATTCACAATTTGCAATTGTCAGTTTCCTTGGTGGCTGCTTACAGGGGCGTCCGGAAAAAGAGCCAGTCTCAGCTGAGTTAGCGCATGTGTTGTTGCAATTTCCATATGTACGCACATATGTGTGCTACGGTATGCGCCCCGTCGCCAGCGTGTGAATGTGGGCGTAGGCCAACCAACGCCAACTTGCGACCCACATTATTCAAGCTGAAAACCATTACACTTTTTGATTACTGCTCGCTGAAATTTTTATGCTAATCTATATACATACATATGTATATGGTTATATCTTGAAATACATACAAACAAATGTGAATTGTATGAATTAAAAATACATTTATTTTGTTGTTTATGTTTGTTTACTTGTCCATCTCGTTTTTAAGCCGTCACACATGCGCAGTAAAGAGTCGCCTTAACTGACCTGCTCAGAGTTGCTTAACATTTTAATTTCCGATGTTCATTTACATGAAATTGAGTAATTAATATGTATGGACATAAATATATCGTACATAAATTCATATATTACATAACATAATATATATATATATATTACATATTACTAACTATCAAAAATTATATATAAGAAAGTATTAAAAAAAAATCCAAAATACATACAATATTATTTAAAAGATTTTTGGGGTAACTCCAGAGTTTCATATTATCATCTGATCCGGACTGACAAAAAAACTGCATTTTCACGTATTTTAATATAAGTCTTTATTAGCACCCTCAAAATAGACTTCTAAGCTCAGCTCTCATATGCTTTTAGCGAATGATAGCTTTTGCGGTTTGGGCTCTTTTTATGCTTATGATGAATATGACCAGCCAATCATAGCCCGTTTAATTTAATTTCTGTTACAATATCAAGGTGCTTAAACAAAGTCAGTGTCTAGCGTGTTTTCTTCAGCTTTGCACAGAACCAATCAGTGTGCGGTAGTTTAAAATTTTCACAGATTTATCGAGGATGCGACGCTTTAGCTTTTGGCTTAGCGCGAAGTAGCATTTGTTAGCGGCCATTATACTTTGGTTTATGTATTTCCGCGGATATAGTGTTCATATTTTTTATATTTTATAAATGTAAAAAAATCCAATTTAATAATAACCTCAACCTTCGTTTTTTAGAATTTTTGCAGCTTTTTTATTTGTATAAATGCAGTTTTTAAACCGTCTATAGATGTCGTAACGATTTGAAAAGTATTGTGCCTTTGGTTTATACTAAAGACTTCCTTATCACCTTTTCAAGCGCAAGATGACATAGTATGCATGAAAGCCCATTCACTTGTCGTAGGCCTAGGGCTTTAGAAACTCCCAAACCCTATTAGCTTTCAAAACTTGTTTCTATAAACCTGTAGAGAATTACAGGTCAGCATTCAACGAAGTAAACTGAAAGTTTTTAATCGCAAATACTTCATTTTCGCAGAAATTGTCATGCGTGTCTAAATTTTGTAATTAGCCTCTCACTTAATTGTCAGTCTATGGCCTCGAGTAGTTTTGACAGCATCTTCGCTTAAATCCAAATTGCAAATGCGAGTACATATACACTTATACTTTTATTTCTTTTTGTATGTCATTTAGCTCATGTAGAGCCTTCGGCCATGTCGCGAACATGACCAAAGCTCAAAACATTTTGTCAACTCTAAAAAAATCTTAAAAATCGACGTACCACTTGTTTTATTGCTTTTGGCGTCTGGCAGAAATTGACGTTTAATTTTTTATATCATTGCCAAGAAGACTTCACGCATACATATGTACCTACATACATGCATATGTACTGCATGTTACCTGCTGCGTAGAATTATGTGAATGTCTCAGCGGCTCAACGCCGCCGTTGTGTCCGCTGACGCCGCAATCCAGTCGCTCGTCTGTCTGTCCTGTTTGTATGTCTGGCTTTCAATTTGTCGCTATTCTTATTGAAGGCTAAGCGTTGTCTTCACTTTGTAATGAGACATACATATGTATTTACAAAGATAAAGTATGCAAATAAACCGACCAGTTTTTGGAGCAGAGCGCCACATGCCGCCACTTCAGCTGGAGCTTCTTTCCCTTGTCTTATTGGCATTGTGCTGATTGTGTATTTGCAACCTCGTTACTTGAGAACTTGTAACGGCTGTTGATTGTAAGCGAAATAGTAATCTTGACAGCGGCACTAGTTGCAGGCTTTGCTAATACCATTTTTTGCCTCTTTTTGGCTTGTAATGAACTTTGCCGTGCCCACTTGTTTGGTGAGTTTTTAAGAATGAGTTGATTTTTATCAGCGTAGAAACAAATTTAAAACGTGATTGCGAACATCGTGATACTTCCTCAGGGCTACACCGTCATATTTTCTTAATATTCTTTAAGCGAACTTTTTTGAAACTGGTCATAAAAGCGCAGCACAGTGCGTCATCAATCTCTTAATCTATAATATTTAAATTGTACATATTTGCGCTTTGATGCATCGAAGTAATTTCCGCATTTTTACCGTCATAAATCTTCCAATAACTTAAAATTGTTGCCCCCTCTTTGAGCGCTACTATTTGTCTCACTTCCATGCAGTTCATTCATCTCCAGGCCAAGCCGGAGCATTCATTAATACTCACTTAAATCTTTCATATATTTTTCTTTCTGTTTATATCTTTGCAGAGTGTCAGTGTAGCCCGATCGGCGCCATCGCCGCCTCATGTGACAAACGTACCGGTCAATGTGCCTGTCTGGCCAACGTTACCGGCCGGCGTTGCGACAAATGCAAATCAGGTCATTGGAACCTCACGCAAGGCGTCGGCTGCCATGACTGTCGTTGCGATCCGGCCGGTTCGCGCAGCCACGAATGCAATCCGTGGACGGGGCAATGTGATTGTAAGATCGGTGTAGGCGGTCAACATTGCAATGAATGTACGGACGGTTTTTACGGCTTCTCCACCGATGGTTGTCAACGTTGTACGCAGTGCGCGGGCGAAGGACAAGTTTGTGATCCGTTGAATGGTCGTTGCATCTGTCCGCCAAACAGTCGTGGGTTGGGTTGTGCACAATGTGTGGCCGGTACTTGGGGTTGGCAGCCGCGTCTCGGTTGTCGCAATTGTGACTGCGATCGTATCGGCTCAATCGGCCAGCTGTGTGAATCGTTGAACGGCCAGTGCCAGTGTCGTGAGGGTTATGCAGGCCGGCAGTGTGACACGTGTGCGATTGGTTACTTTGGTTATCCGGAGTGCAGGCGTTGTAATTGCAATGTGGATGGTTCGTTTGTGCACGCAGATGGCTCGATCACTTGCGATGCGAATGGCCAGTGTCCGTGTAAAGCGCTAGTTGTCGGTCTCAAATGTGACACGTGCATGAAGTCAACCTTTGGTCTGTCGGCGCTCAACCCGGAAGGTTGTACGCGTTGCTTCTGCTTTGGTCGTTCGAGTGAGTGTGTGCAAAGTGAATGGTCGTGGGGACACATACGCATGGCGGAGGCACGCAATTTGAGCGTGCAATACATACGACCGCAATACGTTACGAATACAGAGTATGAGTATATTGTTGTTGTGCAGATGGCGGGCGCAAAGAGCTATCGCGAAGATGCCGAAATACACCTGCTCAACGATCTGAATTTGATACCACGCTCCACGGGCAATGTGTCAATCGGCGCATACACGAATTTCTTTCATCCACTCTACTTCCAATTGCCACCACAATTCTATGGTGATCGCACCAGCAGTTATGGTGGTCACTTGTACTTTACACTTCTGATCGAAGGCGCGAATCGTCCACTGGAACGCAATGTGCTCTCACGTTTCCCGCTAGTGCAGATACATGCGCACAAGAAGTTGGTGCTCGACTATTACGAATATGAGAACTACGAGTATGCGCTCAATGTGACCTACAGAGTGACTCTTCACGAATCGGAGTGGAAGTTTCATCACAACAGTCAAACGGTGGATCGTGCTACTTTGATGGCAGCGTTGCAGAATGTGCGACATATCTTTGTGCGCGCCTCGGCTTTCGCGGACTTCACTGAAGTAGTGTGAGTATGATAGTAAAAAAATCGTTTTGTAGGTAGCTAGCTTTATATTTCTGAAAACCAACCCCAACTAAGGAATTTTTTGATCAAAACTTTTGTTCTGAAGTGAAAGATTTCTTGACATCCAATATTTTGAAGTCAATATTTCGTTGAAAATATCTTTAGTTCTCTAGCATTACATTGATAGTATTTAGTTAAAACGTAGTACCTATAATGGAACCGTTTACGCCCTTAATTACTTACCCTCGCATTTATTTACAGATTGAGCAACGTTCACATGGACTCAGCCATTTATGTATACGGTTCCACGAATATGATAGCCAAAGGCGTCGAGCACTGCAAGTGCCCGAAGCGTTATGATGGGCTCTCATGCCAAGATCCCGGTAAAGGTTTTTACCGTTATCACAATGTCACTGAAATCGAAACCGTCTTCATAGAGGATCTCATCGGACGCGTTGTGCCTTGTCATTGTAACGGACGCAGCCATGAATGTGAACGCGAGACGGGCATTTGTTTAGTAAGTGCAAGCCTTAGCAGTATTTGGAGACTGAAAACTAATTTATTTTCTCTTAACTACTTAGAATTGCCGCGACAACACGGGCGGTGGCCACTGTGAACAATGTGCTGATGGCTATTATGGCGATCCGAATTCGCCATACGGCTGTCAGTCATGTCCCTGCCCGGAGACTAGCCGTAATTTCGCTAAAGGCTGTAATGTCTGGCAGGGTGAAGTTAGTTGCGTTTGTAAACCGGGTTACACTGGCAAGCTGTGTAATCAGTGTCGCACTGGCTATTTCGGCAATCCACTGGCTTATCCGAATAGCACCTGTCAGCCGTGTAGCTGTAATCTGGATGGGTCTACAAACGATGACTGCGACAGTCAAACCGGACAGTGTCAGTGTCGGCCCGGTGTGACTGGTCTGAAGTGCGACAGATGTATTGCGGAACGTAGTCATCTTGAAGATCGCGGCTGTCGAAGTAAGTGATTTGTTATAGTAAAAATCGCTTGAATTTCGTATACTTATGTGTTACAAAATTTCAGTTTGCGACAATTGCACACTGTTGCTGCTGGACTACATTGAGCTGATTGGCAATAAGTTGCGCCGTGGTCTGCACAATATGGATATGACTGGCATACCGGCACCTTATCTGAAAGTAGAGGACTACGAGCGCGACTACAACACGCTACAAATTCACTACGAAGACTACACGAATGCACGCAAACTTTTGGGAAACTATGATGCCAACGAATTGTTGAAGATCGACTCACATGCCGAGAATAATAAATTTCAGTCACGCAAAGCGCTGGCCACTGCGAGTAAACGTAAAGAAGCTACTGGGCAGCTACGCAACGATGTTACCGCCCTTTACGTGGATATGGGTGCGCTTCGTTCCGACATCTTGCAATATATTTTCACGCTCAACAATTACGGCAAGAGTGAGCAGCATATGAGCCTACCAATGGCGTTGGATCAAGCGCGGTTCTATCTGGACTCCATACGACAACATGAGGAAACCGTGAAAAACATACGCAACTCCACGCAATGTGCTTGGCATTTCTACTATCACTTCGGCAACGCTTCGGATGCGGCATTCGATCAGAAAGCGCGTGTCGAAATGTTTTGGCGCGATCTGAATCAAAGCAATTTTCGCATATCCGATATGCGTCTACACGCCGATCGTACGGTGGAAATGCAAAACGAGATCGAAGACACTTTGGAGCATGTGTTGAATTTGCGCAATCATGTTGCGGAAAATTATTATAAAATCAATGAGCTGGGCACTGATGTCACGGATTATTTGAATCAGAGCCTAATACCGCGCACAAATCTATTGATCGAGCAAAATTGGGCACAACAAGAGCAACTAACAGGTGTGACCGATTCGATTGATAGACTCTATGAACAATTGAATATTTCCATGGATGATAGTGAGAGCATACAGCAAGAGGTGCGCAAGCATTGGCTGCCGAAAGCACAAAAACATGCCGATAGATTAATGGAGCGTTCGAATGAGTATACCAGACAGTTTCAACCCACCAGAAATGGTGCGAAAATCGCGTTATTAGCAAGGTAAGTTAGTTGAGTATGGAATAATCTGAACTTGTATTCAACAATTTCATAGAAGTTTTGAGAATCAGTAATCTAATTTTGGCTATTACTCTATAAAAAAAATCAATTTTTCATTCTCAAAACAGTTCCGCACATAAAAACATTTCCGACGCCATAGATGCCGCACGGCGAGCCTCGATTGAAGCCAAAGAACGTGTTTGGGAAGCGCAAAGACGACTCTATCCCGACGATGGCAGCTCTGTGATTGAACATGCCGAGGTATCACTAAACAAATCCAGGGCACTACAAAAGGAAGCGCTTGACGAAATGGAACGCACCAATGGTGAGTATAAAAGTCAAAATATTTTAGTTTCACGCACTTAAGAACTCTAACACTTGGTAGCGCTCAAGCAAAAACTCAAAATACACGAAGACAAAGTTGATAGCATAAAAACAACGATCTATGACGCGGGCACACGCACTAACAATGTCTCAGCGCACTTACATGCCGCGGCTAACAACTCAGCGCGTAGGTTGGCTTTGGAGAGCATAGACATGGCGAAGAATATAAGCAATGAAATGCGACACGAACTGCAGAAAGCCAGACGGATGCACGAGGAAATACTAAAACTACGCGAAAAGTTTGCCATCTTAGAACCGGATTGGGAAATAAAGCTGGGACGTGCCGAGGAGAATATATCGCTCACAAAGACCAATATACGTCTGGCCAATATATCGCTGTCGTATGTGGAAGAACAAGCACAGAAGGAGAAGGCGAAATTCGATGAATGGAATAATACGATGTCCAGCCAAGTGCAGGAACTTCGCGACAAAATCGCCAAGGCACGACATGCAGCAGAGGGCGTAAGTTTTGTTGCCAATGCGCTAACGCAACACATACTAACTCAACTCGATTTACTTTACAGATCAAAATCTCACTGGAATCGCTGAATCCGAAGTGCTCGCGCACATATCTACCCACTTTATATGGGCTCTCCACTTCGAACACTATAAAAATTTCATTTGCGCTGCCCAATCGTAACGGCAATTCACCGCTGTTGCACATACAAGGCAGCGATGGGCGTTACATCGCACTCGAACTCTACAAGCGACATGTGCGTCTAGTTTGGAATCTTGGCGGCACCACTACCATCATTACACATCCATTGGAAGTGCAAACGCGTGATCCCAAGTATGACGATGCCTGGTATCATGTGGAAGCGAATCGCACGCTGAATATTGGTAGTCTCTTGGTACGGCGCATGAATAACTATGGCGCACTGGTGCCCGGTCAAGCCGTAACTGGTAATACCGACGCTGGCTATACACGTTTCTTTCAAACGCCCAACGAACGCATACACCTCGGCGGTTATCCGAGCGATATGTCACAGAAGGAGATGCAACAAAGTGCGGGTCTCAATATTGTCATACACAATGTGGAGGTGGACAATCGACCCTTGGGCATATGGAACTTTATCACCAGTGAGGGACGTTGTGGTGGCGCAATTATTGGCGCACAGGAATCCACATCAACCTCGATAGCGAGGCACTTCAATGGCGTGGGTTATGCGAAGGTGAAGAAGTCACGTTTAAGATCGTATCGCGCGAATTTGTTTGCGCTACAATTGACCTTCAAAACACTGGATGAGAATGCGCTGCTATTCTTGGCGGTTGATGATAAGAATGTAAGTGTATTGAGGCTCAGGGTCGAATTAAAAAGAAAAAAAAAAATTTTAATTTTTTTTTACTTCCCAGAACCGCTCCGTGTCAGTGACGCTCAGTCGTGGACGCATTATGTTCCGCATTGATTACGGCGATGAGGCGAAGTTGGAAATAAACACCACCAACAAATACAACACGGGTAAATGGGTTAAGATTGAGGCAGCGCGCGAGTTCGTGCCGAAACGCGGCACTGAGAATGGCATATTACGCGTGAACAACGAACGTGCCATCACTGGTTCGCCCACAGTGCCTATTAAAAGTCACATGTTGCCTGATTTATCAAAACCGGTATACTACTTAGGTGGTGTGCCGCCAGGTGAGCATAGAACTCTCCAAAATAGATTTATTTATGGTAGAATTTATGTGTTAACTCTCTAAACTAGGTTTCAAATCGGGTACATCCAAGGCGCCTGGTGCGGACAATCCCTTCTTGGGTTGTATGAAGGACGTGCAAGTCAACAGAGAAACTTACGATCCACTGGAGAGCTCAACACACTTTGGCGTCGAGCCGTCATGCAAGGAAATTATAACAAAGTCTGTGGAATAGGAGCACATCTTTTAAATAATGAAACTATTAATATAAAACAAACTCACTTGTTCTTTCCACAGAGCCGGCTTTACAGGACAAGGTTACATCGAACTACCCTCCCAGTCGCTACGCAAGCGCGCCAACACCGGTTTCGTCTTCCGCACCTTACAACCAGATTGTTTACTACTCCTCTCCGCCTATCCACCCGAAGTTGCTGAGGACTATGACGACAAAGACATCAAGGGCAACTACTCGATCAGCTTAATCGATGGTCAACTGCAAGTTTGGATCAACTCCGGACGCAGTCTGTTGAAAATCATTTCGAACAACACGCTTAACGATGGCGAATTCCATGTGGTGAATTTAATTAAAACTGGTCGCAAATTCGAACTGATGGTTGATGATGAGTTGCAAGATACAAAGAGTTTAACTGGCGCGCCCACACTTGTCAGCATGCCACGTGACGCTGGTGGCCTATATATAGGCGGTGCGCCGCCTTATAAGGAGTTCACACCACTAGCGCCTACATTTATCAAACTAGAGGGCGCCATACGCGATGTGGTCTTTAATAATCATACGGTCAACTTGAATCAGGCGGTGGCCTTCTCCAACGTGCAAATCGGCCGAAACGGCCCTCCAATGGGCACCTTCAATGGACTGCTCGATGCACTGCTTAAGACTGAGCCGATGATTGGCAAGAGCTTTACCGCATCGCCTGAGGGATGCTTAAGGGTAAGTGCTGTTTATTATTTGTTTCTGTAGTGTGTAGAAAATCGTCTTAAGACTGTAGATGAGGAAAATATGTACCTTTCCTGTATATATTGGGTATTTTGTACATAATATGGTACTTTACACAGATCGCGTTTGAGAATTTTGATTTTTATTGGTGTTAATTTTAAGCTATTATAAACATATTCTTTATTTCCAAAGCGAAGTATGATATCACATCTCCTATAGTTTTGCCATAAACTATGGTCTCCATTAACTAATAATCTCAAACTCTCAACCCAATTTCCAATGCCACTCATCACTACTTTCTAATGCGTCGGTTTCGGTAAAAAAACAAAAGCTGAAGCCTAAACAACTCAGCTCTTTCTTCACCTATCCTTCTAGTCAAATCATGACTGCTGTAGAGCCATAGCACCATATTTTACTGCCATAAATCTTAACAGTATTTGAAAACATGTGTCGGGTAAGAGCTCATTTATTTAAGGAAAGTATGACCACCGAGCGCATTCCTCTTTCACGCCTGTTCCCCAAGTGAGATGTGTGGAGTTATAATTCGTAGCTCTGCTGCTCTTAGCTTAGCTCTAGGTCTATAAAATATATTTTTATATACTGAACCTTATTTTTTAAATTTGCCACGATACATCGTTTTTTCTTGTTGTTTTACTTTTATGGGTTAAATTAGATTGAGATTTTACTAAAATATGCTTTTTCTTATCAAAAAAAAGTTGGTTTAAATCATTTTGAGTTTTGCCGGCGAGAAATCCTTAAAGAAGGTATCATTTAACACATAAATTCATATATGTATACAGTTTTGTATAAATAACATAATAAAATGATATCAAACTATCTTTTTTTAAATTGGTTCAAAATTATAAGGCTGCGCACATATTGGAGTGAGGTGCAATAAAGTGTTATTATTTTACAGCTTTTAAGCTAAAAATATAATGTGATCTTTTATTGGAAAACACATATACACCGTATATGTGCTATATATTTTTCAAATTTTTGCTTTTACACCATCATTTGCTTACTCTATACTTCACTGTGATCTCAGCCTTATATTTTCATCGCTATAAAGCTACTTGCATGCCTCATATCATCGAAAACGCATTATCATTGAATTTTCTTTTTATTTTATAGGACTTTAGTTGTTGAGTCTAGAGATATCCAAACTCAGTACCCTAATCACAACGATCATTTATTATTTCTAATAACTGAGCTAAGAACACTAATTAAATTGTTCTATTTATATGAAATCAGCGGCCATATTATAATATTTCCATGCTATAGATATGTGTGTAAAAAATTATTAGACTTGTTGAGGCACTTAAAAAACAACTTTTTGGTTGCGGTACTACGTCTAAAAAAATATTTTTGTAAATACCTATACATTTTTCATTACTCACAAATGTTTACTATTAAATTTTGTATGGTATTTTATCACGTGTCTCGAGCCAACTTAAAATTGAAAAGAGCAAACATTTTTTTTATATGTATTTATGTATATTCTAATTATCATTATTAATAACTTCATTTAGTATTTAAGTGAAATTTTCACGAAATTTATGCGAAACTCATCTTAATTTCACCAATACTCGATTACAAACGAAGAGTTGATCATGATGTCACAAACTAAATGCGCATAAAATATTTGTAAAATATTTCACCTTCAACACATTGCCTTTTTGTGTTTGTTTAAGCTTTTGTATTTTATTTTATAATTTTAAATTTATTTTTATATAAAACAAAATCATTTTCACTTCATTTTGCCAATATTAACTATGCACTTAAATAAATGAATTGTATTAAATTTGTTATTGTAATGAAAAAAAAGAATATTTTAAAATAATTTTCATTTACATATTTTTAATAAAACATTATTTTTTAACAAAAAACAATCATGAAAAAGGTTTTTTTATTTCTTGGAAACTAACCAACATTCACAATTTTCGGCTTCACTAAATGTTTCTCTCTAACAACTAACCATTTGAAAACATAACGCTTTCACGGCAATCAAAAGCTCAAACTAACAAAAAAAGCGCGATGCGTAAAGGTGCGATTAAATGTATAAAAATTAGTGTTTGAAGATTGTTAATAATGGGTAACTGGCTTAACTTATAACCGACACTAATCTGGACACTTAGAAAACTGTATATAACTGTCATTCATTGCTAAATCAAAAATCACACTTTCGACTAAAACTTTTATGACAGCTCCGCTAGCAATTGCAGCTTAAAGTTTCATATGGCATATTTAAAGAAAATTCATGAAATATAATTAATTTTTGTAAAATGATGAAGAAAGTGCTGACTTCAAACACTTCCCTTCCAACACGCGCCTAAAGAACGCATACTCAAATACATATGTATTTTTCCCCCTTCTCTCTCTCCCTCTCTCGCACGCGCTTACGCCAACCATAGGTCGGCAGCTATTCGTACGAGCCGAGCGCCTTTAAATTTGGCGATATAACGCACAGTTACGCCCAACTTCAAGTGCCACAACGCAATTTCTGGCAACGTAATTTTCACATCTCTTTCGGTTTTCGCTCCTTCTATCCGAACGGTTTAATCTTCTTAGCACCGGGCAGCAAGGAGAAGCATAAACACTATGTAGCACTGTTGCTCAAGAATGGTCAACTGCTGTTGATTGTACGCGGTCGTCGACGTGAAGAATTGAAATTAACAGCAAAATTAGATGACGGCGAGTGGCATCACGTGACGATATTGTGTCAAGAACGCAAAGTAACCATGTCGGTGGAGATTGGTCAAACCGATCAGAAGACATCGGCGCAGATGAAGGTGCCGAAAAAGATTGCCGCCACAAATGTGCTCTATGTTGGCGGTTTGCCCGAGAAGTTGCCCAAGTTGCCAAGCGAGTTGCTGCAACGTGTGGAAGCCTTCAAAGGTTGTCTACGACGCATGAACATAAATAATAACACGCAAGATCTGGCGCGTCCCGGCAAACATCTGCATGTTGGACAGTGTTTTCCAAAAGTGGAGAAGGGCGCATATTTCCCTGGCGATGCCTACGCGATATATAGTGAGTATAGTATTTTTGCAGCAGTATAAATTTATTAGTCTTCTTAGATGATATTTCTAAGCTTAATTTATTTAGACCAACACTTCTTGCTAGTAATACTAACTAATTCTTTACTTTTAAAGAACGCAACTTCCATGTTGGCAAATACTTAGAGTTCGAGCTTGACTTTCGCACGTCTGAACTTTTCGGTGTACTGTTGACGGTCTCAGAGCCATCAGGCTTTCCAGCGCTCTCACTCGAACTCAACAATGGCAATGTAAGTGTTTGATCCAAATATTTTTAATAAATATATTTATAACAATTTGAGCAATCCGCTTTCATGCAGATAATCTTCTCAACCGACCTTGGCGATGGCATGCCATTCCGCGTACAATCGGTACTACCTAGCAAATACGCTTTATGCGACAATAAATGGCATAACATTTCGGCGCTCTACGATTACGAACACATCACTTTACGCATCGATCAGATGGCAACGACCAAAGCGAGATCGACACAACAACGCAACAACAGTAAAGTACAAACAAAGTCCGGGCTCTATATAGGCGGTCTACCAGGTAAATATTTTTGATGACAAGCGAGTTAAAGTATTTAAAAAAATATAATTTTTTTTGTTTTTTAACAGAAATCGCACCCAGCGGTACGTTGCTCGCACGCGAAAACTTCAAAGGCTGCATACGCAATGTGTCCATACGTCAGGAGCGACGCGATTGGATCGACATGGACGAGCTCCATAACGTTTTGCTAAGCGAATGTCTGGTCACAGGCGTGGACAACTGATTGTGATTGTGTGCGAATAACATATGTGTGATTAAAGAGTATGTGCTCAGTAGTTAAGGTGAGAGTGGTCACAGTATACTATTTAGTATGTAGACAACGCTGGAATATGTATGTAGCAGCTATCTTTGTTTATGTTTAAGTAGACCGTTAATGCCATTTGGTAGACCAGTAGCATACTAAAAAAGACTAGTTATGGCGTAAGCTTGAGACCTTTGCATATACTGCCGGGTTATTATTGCATATATGTACATATGTATGTGAGTTGCAATGTATCATTGCGATGAGCGTTTATTTTGAAAATAATAGCCATAAACGTATGGAAAGTATCAAAGCGTTAAACTTTACCAATAAAAAAGAATTCATATACACGCGCCTCCGGATTTTGCTCAAAGAAAGTAAAACTAAAATTTTTGTCGAAAAAAATTTAATTTATCTAAAAGTTTTAAATTTTTCTTTAAGATACATAAAAAAAATTCGAGAAAATATATAATTCTAAAAAATAAAAAGTGAAAAAAATCTATTAAAAAAAATAACAAATTTCTTCAAAAAAATTAGCGAGTAAAAATTGAATTTTTCAAAAAAAAAATAATTTTTTTTCTAACACGTTCAATTCTTCAAAAAACATTTAAAAAACTTTATTTGTCTAAAAGTTTTTAATTTTTCCTAAAGAAAAATAAAAACAAAAATCGAGATAATATTTATTTCTAAAAAGTAAAAGATAAACAAAAGTCTCAGAAATACTTTTTTAATTAAAAAAATTATGTAAAAAAATGTCTCCAAAAATTTAACGAGCAAAAATTGAGTTTTTCAAAAAAAAAGTTTTTTTTTTCTAACAAGTTTTCAATTCTTCTAAAAACATAATACAAGCTCTTGAAAATTATTTTAAGAAAATAACTATATACAAACGAAAATGAATAATATGTTTTTTTTTAGAAAAAAGTTTTCAATTCTTTTGAAAAATTTTTAAAAGATTTTTAAAAATTTATCGAGCAAAAATTTAAATAAAAAATAATAAAATTCCTCACAACAATTTTTTTCCTAAAAATCATAAAACATTAAAGCTTCTTTAAAAAATAAAAATGTTGAAGTAAATAAAAGTATCTGCTAAGGTATACAAATAATATGTTACAGCGATGCTTTCAGCTTTTTAATTGTTCTAATTAGTTTTTCTAACTTAAACAGTCGCAACTGGACTAAACCATTTAACGAAAATTTTTCATAAAATAAATATAGTACATAACTGTTTTTCTTTTCACTAGAATTGATTTAATATTTCCCCTCGACTTTTTAGCAAACTTCATGTACTTTTTAGAGCCGTTAAAATTACGAACGACATTGCCATAATGCATTTACGCTTACGAACACGCTATAGGAATTTGAAAATTTTTGCAAATATGTAATTAAAATAGCGAACAAATAATTGTATAAAAAAATATGAAAGTGCAAATCACTTGCAAAGGAGCATGAGAACTTAAGTGGAGCTTTTTAAGATTTTAATCAAGTCGTATACACATCACTTGCTACGAAGTGTTAAAGCTTCAAGTTCGCAAATCACTTACAAACAAGTGTAAAAGCTTCAGTAGAGCTTTTTAAGCTTTTGTACTAGTGATATGCAAATCACTTGCAAAGAAATATGAAAGCTTCAGTAGAACTTTTTTAAGCTTTTATAGAAGTGATTGGCAGCGTAAAATATTTCAACGATAACGACTTATATGTGTGTGACTATATATGAATTATATATAAGTATATCGAATTTATTGCATATATGTATGTATAAGCACTTAAATATATAAGCACCTGCATATTTACAGTTTAGAACTTCAAAATATAATAAATGCTACATTTTAAATCATTGCCAATACTTAGAATTTCCACTAAAACAATCTACATACATATATCTTGTATTCAATGCATTAAATTAAGTAAAACTCATTTAAAACATATGCATATATAAATGTGTGTGCTATGTGCGTACGAACGAACCAGTGACTGCATTTTATGAATACAACTATGATAATTACGCCTAGTATAAAATTGTTTACTCTTAGCGATAAGCATACTTTTAGGCACCCGTATAGTTTACTGTAATTTACTACATATATTACAATGTATATAGGTAAATTGTTAAGTGAGCAGATACATATGTTTGTGTATATATTATATCAATGATATTTTTCAATAATTCATAATTATTTATTATTATTTATTTTGTTATAATTTTTTTTTTTTTTTTTTATATATATTTTTCTTAATTTCCATTTAATTCGAAGAAGAGGCTTTAGTTAATTTTTTATTTAATAATCATTTTTATTAAATTTAAGTATGTGTGTTGCACTTGTGTTCGTTTATTTAGATCTTTAATTTTATTTATTCATATACATACATATATTTAATTTTTAAGCTCACTAAATATTTCTGAAAATGATTTTTTGTCACCAAAACTTATAATAGCTAAGAACCGTTATGTTACGTACAAAATTTACTTATTTAAGCATGTACACAATTATACCTAACCAATACATACTTACATATACATATGTATGTACCTATACGAGTATATATTATATTTTCTACTTTTTCGTTACATATTGTACAGCTCATTAAAATATATAAGTAAACCGTTGTAAATACAAATTAGTGAATTAATTACAATACAATTACTTTAATTAAATTTATGTATAGTTAAAATATAATTAGAATTTAAATGGCTTGCTAAAAATATTTTTGATATATTTAAGCTAACCATAGTTGTTCATGTAATCACAGCCAATAGCAAAAGAAATACTTTTTTTTAAGATAATACATACATACATATTTATAGATAGTATTTATAGTTATATGTATACACATATAGTTTTTGGTTTTATAAAAATAAAAAAAAAATTTTTATATTAAGCTTACCATTTAACTTGAAAAATGTATGCATGTCATAAAATCGAATAAATAAAAAATATTTATTTAAAAAACGCAGTTTTTGTGGCAAAACACCGTAGTAAGTTGAATATTGCAGAATAAAAAATATATATATATCCTTTTCTCCTCATTTATCAATATTGTATATTTATTTAGCTGATTTTATATATATATTTACATTTTTTTCCTTTCTATATAATTAATTATTCTTTCATTCAAAATATGTTTTGTTTCATGTATTAATTTTTTATTTTTATTTCTTTATATTTTTCACATAATTAATTGTTCTGCTATTTAAAGCATTTTATATATTTTTTTCGTTTACTAAATTTGTATTTTTATTTATTTATTTATTATTTTTTAATTCACATAATTAATTGTTCTCTTATTCAGAATGAAAACTACATATATATATATATATTTTTTTTTTCTTCCTTTATTAATTTTGTATATTTATTTATTTGTTTTATATATACATTTGTTTTACATAACTAAAAGAACAGTTAATTATGTGAACTAAAAAAGAAAAAATAAATAAATAAAATTACAAACTTGATTTTTTATTCAAAATGTTTTTTATTTTATTTATTTCATATTTCTATATTTAGTCTTATTATTTGAATTTCACATAATAAATTGTTCTTTTATTCAAAATATTTGATTATTTTTATTTATTTATCTTCTTTTAACATATAATCACCAAATCAACTTCTTGCTAGCTGAATTAGTAATGTCCACGTTAATATGTCAACAAATATTATTAAACGGCAGTTGGCAACTCGGCAACACTGCTAACAGCTGTTCGCCACCTATACTACGCCACACACATGCGCTCACCTTTGCTTTCTAAATTTTCCACGGCGCTCTTCCCCACTGTGCTCCACGTCAGTTCAAAACAAAACAAATCATTTGGTTTTGTTGTTGCTTAGCGCTCTCGCACGCAACGTAATCTGTAAAAGCAACGGAATTTCAAGTCATTTTAGTTCTTTCGTGGAATTGAACGAGTGCGGTTGATTGAGATAGAGTTAAGAAAATGTGTGCATTTCCCAATTAAGTAAAATTTTGGTCACAAAAGTTGTGAAGCAACAATTAGTGGAGAAGAATTGTACACAAATTCAAGCCGGATAATCATAATTAAGTGTCTAATTTACGTTGTGAAGTGCGTGTGTTCCATGTGTATAAGTGTATTAACTGTAAATGAAAAGCAAAGTTGCTTAAGTGAAAGGGGAACTGGATAAATTGATTTTTGCTTTTCCCCAACATTCTTTGATCGTGGCAAAAAAGTGTAGTGTGTTTGTGTGGTTTGCCCAAGAATTTCTTTACACGGCAATTTGTATAATTATTTGTATTTCAATTGGTGCTTATTCCATTTAATAAACCGGCCAAATTGGATTTGATTAGTTTAGTAACTTTTCCCACGTCATTTCGCGTATCTTCACCGATGGCCAGTCAGCAGTCCAATATGGATTCTGTGAGTGCAAACTTCGAGTTGCAGCAAAACGAAATCACCGCTATTCCACAGTATGGGCTCAAGTTGAAATTTGATCATGTGTGGCCGGAGAAACGCAATCAGAATTTACGACCGTCGCTGAGACAAACGCTGCCGCTGGTGCCGTTAGCGTGCAGGTAATTACAACTATTATATGTACATACACACATACTCGTACGTATGTATGCATGTACGATTCTCAGTCGAAATAATATGCAAATGCGCTGAATGAAAGGCAGCTTTATTTGATAAAAGTGATAGAAATATTATTAGTTTTCATTGAAGTTGCAGGTAAAGGTACATTTCTTTATTGAGTGAGAAGAGAAAGTAAATTGCAGCCGTTACGGCAGTCAATTTGAAGTAATTTTTTTTAAGGGGAAACATTATCAAATATATTAAAGATAAGAAGTATTAAATGATTTTACCATTTCCATTTTATGTTTTCAAACAAGAAAAGCATAAATTAACTTTTTATTAATATAATTTTTCTTTATTAGAAGTTGAAATATTAATACTTAATTCCAAATATCATACTTTTAAATTAAATACTAATAAAAAATAACTTAAAAATTTTAAGTTTGTGAGAATATGTAATAGATTTTTTTTTATATATTTTAATAAATCTATACCTCATTATTTTTGTTACTTTCTCCGCTTTTTGTCCCTCTGCTGTTTTTGTACCCCGAACAGCGTATATGAAGTTTGCCACGAACTTTGTAACGCCCTAAAGAAAACTTCGGACACGCTAAAGTATACATATGAGTGTGAGTACAGTTACTGACAATAAAGTATAATCAAAATTTTATTCACAACTTTTTGTTGTGTTACCACATTTCTTAGGAGTAAACAATTATTTTTTATGATTAATAAAATGTATTAACATTAAAATTTCAAAAGCAAAAAAGCATTATATAAATTTAAGTATTATCAGCAGACAACTTTTAAAGGAAATGTGAGTAATTTCAATGGAGAATTAAATAGTAGACTATTATAATAAAAAAATGCATATACTTAAGTTAGAATTTTGTTGCAAGACTTTATTGTTGTTAGAATTTATTTGCGAGTACGGCAGCGCTCCTTTCCGGCATAGATTCCACTAGAGCTTTTTAGACTGAAGTCGGTATTGAATACCACGTCACTCGGACTTTTTCCCATAGCTCCTCCTTATTTCGTAGTTTAATGGGTCCCAACTTTTCCTTTACAATCTTTCACAGGTTTTCTTTAGGAATTAAGTCCGGAAATGGCGCCGGTCAAGTCATAACATCGATCCCTTGAAACTGTAACCAAGTCTTGACCACAACCGTGGTATGCTTCGGTCCATGATTTCCCAAATTCAAATCAGCGGTTCAACTCTGTACCACGAAAAACCCAACCATATCATGCTATTCCCACTTTCGTGCTTGAAAGTCGAATATCGGGGATTCATATCAGCATTATTCGGACGTCGAACACAATCTTTTCCATCGCTACCTATCATATTTATTTTAGATTCATCGGACCAAAGAATCTTACGCCACTTTTTTTTACATTTTCTTCACCAGTCCAATTGATATGCGCATAAATGATCAGCATGTCGAACTGAGTCGATTTAGCCATATGCCTGTCCCTCTGTATATACGCGAACTAGTCCCTCAGTTTGTGAGATATCGATCTGAAATTTGGCACACGTTCTTTTCTCACTAAGAAGCTGCTCTTTTGTCGGAATCGCCGATATCAGACTACTATAGCATATAGCTGCCATACAAGCTGGTCAATCAAAATCAACTTTAGTGTATGGTTGTTGTTGTTGTTGTAGCTTCAGAATTCTGCCGAGTTGACAGTCCTTGTCCGAATAAAAATCCTGGTTCAATCCGGTTACGTAGAGCCGACTGTCGTGGGAACGGGATAGATATAATATATATATATATACATAGCTTCGGTGCACCCGAAGTTCACGATTTTTCTTGCTTTTGTTACTTTCGCTGCTTTCTTTTTGTATGTATAAATATCGATATATCTTTGATACAACAGTTACGCTTTTATTCCCTTGAAATTTTCAATTCAAAAAAGTTTTTTGAACAAAATATTCTAAAAATTTGGTTTTCATACCTTAATTATATTATTGATTGCGTTGCCTCAAAGCCATTTTACTGTGTACACCAGCGTCGTAACTTTGTATTTGTACACAAAAGTTACGTGTGGCAAAACCAAATTTGTTTACCAAACTCATTCGCGCAGTTTTATTTTTCACTTTTTATTGATAAAACTCAGGCGTGGATTCAACAAATATAAATAACAGTGTTTCGGAGAATTACAGGTGCATATACATACATATTTATGCGTATATACATACAAATATGCAAGTACCTATATGTAGGTATGCCTGTGGATTTGTATATGTGTATATACATATGTACATATATGCCTTTGTGTGCTATTTGATTACTTTATACACCTGTTTCGTTTGGTATATTTTGGCTGTATATAAAAACAAAAATACAAAATTGTGAAGCATACATTTAGGCGTATACACCAGCTCGGTCAAACACAACTCTATGAAAACAAAAAACCGATATCTACACCAAGCATAAACACATAAATATTTATAAAATACTGTTGAAAGTCCAAAAATAACCAAGCATACTTACCAACGCATAATTGAATGAAATGAAATAATCAAATTAGGCGCCTTACATTAGCTAGCGTCCTGTTTGCATTAATCGTTCGTGTATAAAATAATGTGTGCCACACACTTTAGAGAGTATTTGCGCGCCAGAACTTCGTCACCAGGCGGCCCACAATGACGCCGGTCTGGTAGCGCATATGTAGGTGTGTGGCTGTGTGTTAGTATAAAAGCATACTAGTGGTATTTAGGCCAAACGTGACGCCTGGTCGACAGGATGTCGATGAAAACTTCATTTGCCTTATGTATGTGTGTTTGTGTATATCTTCAATCACGTTTCGTTCCTTCAGCTAGTGTGCGAGTGACTACAACATGTTCCTGCTTTGCTATTCAAATTAACAACAATAAACATGTTATAGCTCTGTAAATTCGTAACAAACTGAAATGAAAGGTTTGAACTTAAATGTACCACAAAATGTAGTCATCCTAGTTCTTAATACATACGTCGTTTATATCAAAGTATAAGGTAGGTGGTTATATCCACTTATGAATTTCAAAAAATCGATTTCCATGTATGTATATATGTATATATATTTGAAAATATTTTCCGAAAATTTGAAGTTCATCCGGCAATTAGTTTCGAAGATATGAGCGTGTTTGTACAATATTTTAACTTACGTGTAATCGGCTCCCAAAACTTTAAAGGAATTTTTCTCGAAACGCTGTTATCAGAGTCGTTGAAGCAATTATTTACGAAACGGCTTGACCGATCGACTTGACATTTTCACACAAACTTCTTAGATATGTTATCTTTGTCAGGTAATGATCGAAGAAATAAAATTTTGAGAATAATTTCTGTTTTTTAAGATACTCTTACGTGTAAATTTTTTCATACGAGTTTTTTAAAACAATTTTTTTTTTTTGGAAACCGCCATTTAATAAAAAATAAAAAATAAACTAATATTTCTATCATTACAGGCATTCATCTTTTGTAAGTTTTATAATTTTTTTGTTCTTGGATTTGAGATAATTTTAAACAGACAAATCTTCCTTTCAGGCAAACACCTTGTTTCGGTAGTCTTCCTGGAGATCGACTAAGAAATCAAGGGTATCCAAAACTTTTCAAAATTAATCACCGATTATAAAAGTATATTCACTTCTGAAAATGCACATTATTAAAAAAAATAACTCTTATAAACAAAATTTGCAAAACAAAACGGACATGGAAGTTGATACGGACATGAAAGTGGATATAACCCCTAAAAAGAAATAACGTCGGTGAACGCATTCTGAACTTAAAACCTATGTTTTTTCCTTTACCATGTTGTTACGGATTCAGGGTGAAGACTCTAAAACACCGTTAACTTGATATTTGTATGGCTCACCCTAATGTATCCATATACACATTTCTGGCTTAGTTTAAAGCAACCATGGCGTGTCTTTCTTCATTTTGTTTGCATTCGTGCTGTCTAAGGGAAGTTGGAGTTTTTATTTTCCTTTTTCATGTAACTTCCTGTATAGATTCCGAAATAACTATGTGCCTTTAAGTAGTAGTAAAGTTTTTACTTCGTACTCAAGCTTTCTAAATTACTACGTTAAGAAGATGTTTTGATGAAAATATTTTTCAATGTACCGTTCTTAATTCACTTGCCAACAAATTCCAGAAAAATGTAATGCTATGTCTCCATAAATAATATGATTTTGCTTTTAAGTGTAAACTCTTTTCTTAACATATGCTGAAAACTGCCTTTAACGTAGTTTTAACACCAACTTTTTCTACGGGTCTTACGTTAAATACATATGTACCTACTTTTTTATTCCATACCCGCCGAAATTAGAATTATTTCTGTATATACCGTTAGAAACTTTTGTCAATCCTACTTTAATAACTATGAAGTGACATCGAAAAAAATTTTGAAAATTCTTTGTAGTGAATCCAATACTTTTAGGGAAAAAAGTTTTGTAACGTTTCGACGAGTAAATCTTCTCAGTCCCTCTATAAATAGAGTTATTTAGGAAATTACTATTTCTAGAAACTTCTTAGCACCAAAGCTTAAAATTCTAACCAGACATACTCTAGTTTGTATGTACATTTGAATCATTATTTTGAGCAACTTCTTACAAGATATACTGAAGAGCATAGATTGTCATTACCTTACACAAGCAAAAGCGTTAACCTTGGCTGCACCTTCACCTTTCACAGATGCATTTCTTATAGCATAAAAGAGTCTAAAAAGGTCTTTATCTTGATTTTGATCGGTCAGTTTGTATGGCAGCTATATGCTATAGTAGCCCGTTCTGTACAATATGGTCGGAGATTATAGTGTTGCCTTGTAAAATAATCTGTGTCAAATTTCGTGAAAATATCTTGTCAAATAAAAAAGTTTTCTATACAAGAACTTGATTTCGATCGTTCAGTTTGTATGGCAGTAGTGATCCGATATTCGGTTTCAGCAAATGAACAGCTTCTTAGGGAAAAAAGGGCATTCGCACAATATCAGATTGATATCCCAAAAACTGGGGGACTAATTCGGT